AGATGTCCAGAAGAAAAATGCTTGTATAATTGACTTTGCGCAGGCTGAGAAAAAACCTGGCAAGATGTCCAGAAGAAAAATGCTTGTATAATTGATTTTGCGCAGGCATGAGAAAAGGTCTGGCAAAATGTCCAGGAGAAAGAAATGGATGAGTAATTGACTTTGCGCAGGCTTGAGGAAAGACCTGGCAAGATGTCCAGAAGAGAAATAGATGAGTAATTGACTTTGCATGGGTTTGAGGAAAAGGCCTGGCAAGGTGGCCATAAGAGAAATGGATGAATAATTGACCTTGCGTGGGCTTGAGAGAAGGTCTGGCAAGACATTCAGAAGAGAAAGGCATGGGTAATTGGGTTTGCATAGGCTTAAGGAAATGACTGGCAAAACGCCCAGAGAAGTGATATATGTGAAATGGATTTTGCATGAGTTTGAGCAAGGCCTGGCGAAATGCCGGAAGAAAGATGCGTATGGAATGGACTAAGTAAAGCGGATTTTGAGAATGGGAGTGACATGCATGCGGAATTGGCAGGGCTAGAGAAAACTGGGCAAAATAACATGGGAAAAATACATGTGAATTTGGCAAAGCGTGAGATTGAGGAAAGAATGACGCGAGGCGTGGATTGCACGGGCCGAAAGGCCAAGTAAAAGAAGCACTGAGGGCAATCGGGGCCTGAAAAGGAACGTGGCTGGCACGGGGTGGATGGAGGAACAATAAAAGGGCGCTGGGGATGGCAAGGCTCGGGGAGAAGCAGGCGCCGCAAGAAAAGGAGAGTTGAAAGGAGGTTTGGTGTTCTGAGGGTGATAAATAAGACGAAAGGAGGATTGATGCTCTGAGGGTGATGAACGAGACGAAAGGGGTTTTGATGTTTTAAGAAGTGATGAATGAGACGAAAGGGGTTTTGATGTTTTAAGAGTGATGAATGAGACATGAGAAGTCTGAAGAAAGCCTGAATCATATGCACCTCCTCCCCGTCCCAAGGGTTGAAGCCTAGAAGAATCCGAGAAAGGAACAAGAAAAGGCAAAACGAACCCTGGCAAATTAACGACCCATAACATCTCATCCTCCTCGCCCGTCTATCCCTCCAAAACCCACTGACAAGAGATTGGTGCACGATGAGGACATCGCGAATGAGTGGGGGGAATGTGTCGGGACTGGTCGGTAGGAGAGAGATAAGACAAAGGATTAGGCCGCAGGAGGGAGTGATGCCCTGGGGAGAGAACCACATGAGGAAAGAACTAGCGACGACAAGCAAGCGAGCGCAAGAACAGGGGCACATAGAACATAGCATGAGGCCGGGAGGACCGTTGGAATGCAATAAGACTAAGGCCAAAGGGCCCTTGAACCAGCGAACGCAACACGACAGCGATAAAGCAATAAGGCAGTCGAGGGACGGGCAACCCAGAGGCCGTGGGAAGATAGAGAACGAGGGGTCAACATGGGGGCCACCTACGGGAGCCTCGAAGTAGAGGCCCGTGACCAAAGGAACCGGCGCGCGCAAGGCGCAAGAAAAGACAAGGGAGAGGGGTCACCATGGGGTGCAAAACGCCCAAGGGACGTGGGACACCTCGGGGAAAGGCACCCGGGGCCACGTGGGACTAAGTAAAAATAATGGCATCCGGGGCGAAATATGCCGGGTACCGCCGATGGGACTAAGTGTCGGCAACCGCCGGCGGGACTAAATGCCGGGGACCGCCGGCGGGACTAAGTGTCAGGGACCACCGACGAGACTAAGTGTCGGGGACCACCGGCGGGACTAAGTGTCGGGGACCACCGACAGGACAAGTGGCGGGGACATGTGAAAGTCCCAAGAAGAAACGGCGGCACCGCATGAGGAAAAATAATAAAGGCAAGGTGCACCGTCAAGATCGAGATCTTGACGACCAAGAATATTAGCACCACTAGTGCAAGCACTAGCGGTAGCAAATGGGAAGGCCGAAAAGAAAAGAAAAAGTAAAGAAACTTGAGGTGGGAGGCATGGGAGCAATCCGAAAAATCTCGGATCAGCCTCCCTCAAGAAAATGGAGTCAAGAGAGACCCCATGTGAAAAATAGCCCTCCGGGAGAAAATTGGAGTAGGAAGGGCCACTATGAGAGGAAAATAGGAGTGAAGGGAAGCTCCCATGGGCATGAGAAGGCCATTATTGCTGTCCGAGATATAACGGACTGCACTTTGGGCTTAGGAAGCGCCAAAACTAAGAGGAAGAGGCTAGAAAAGGGCCTTAACGGCCACTTGGCACTTGGCATGCTAGAAAAAAAGAGAGAAAAGAAAAGAAAATGTGGGAGAATAAAACAAAAAGAGTGAGAGGGAGTGAGTGAGTTGGCCGTCAGTAGGGACTACCACAAGTAGGGACTGGCAGGTCCCTACTGTCCAAGAAAGGAGGAAAAGAAAAGAAAAGAAAAAGAAAAGAAAAGAAACGAAAAAGAAAGAGAAAAAGGCCTCAACGGTAAAAAACGGTCACTTGGGGAGATTCGTCCGTGACCAGATTCATTCTGGAATATGGCGGTTACAAAGGATTTGGATTTTCTTTGATTTTTGCAGAGAAAACCAAAGAAAATCAAGGCCCCATGCAACCGGAATAAAACGGATTGTATGCATGAGGAGAAACACATGGTGCATCCGGAGCCAAAATCAAGTCCGGATGCACTTGGGAGTTGACCGTTTCTTTTTCTTTTGAGTAGGGGCTAGTTGTGGGGCATTGAGGCTAGGGAATTGACCCCCATTGCAGTCCGAGTTGCAATGGACTGCATGGCGATGCCTAGGCTAAGGGAAAATGAGCCACGGCAAGCCCGGAAGGCTAGAAAGGAGCGATTTCGGCATCGGGCAAGTAAAACCGGTAAACGGCAACCGTGAGATGAGATCTCACGGCCTAGAAAAATCAGCACACATGTAGAGATGATGGGACCACCAAGGACAAGGGACCCCAAAAATAAAAATGGGACACCATCCGGAATGTTGCCGGGGGCCAAGTGGGTCCAAATAATGAAAATCGAAAAACGGAACATGCGCCGACGGGACGAGAAAATGAAACTAGTATGGAGGAGAGTGGCGGGGACTTGGGATGTCCCAACGGGACCATGAGCAAGCACAAGGAATATTTGTGCAAACAAACGGCACCGTCGAGATTAAGGATCTAGACGGTGAAAAATATTAGCACCACTAGTGCAAGCACTAGTGGGGGCCAGTGGGACAGCCATGGGGAGAAAAGAAAGCAAAATAATAGTGTTGGGAGGGCTGCCCACCAGTCCGAGATATCTCGGACTAGCTAGGCATGAGAAAATAGAGCCTTAAGAGACTCAACATGAGAAAAAGGCTGTCCTTAGAAAATCGGAGCAAAAGGGGCTCAAAATTGGGCGAATGGGAGTATAGTGGAGCCCTCTAGGAGCATGGGGGTGCCATTGTTGGAAGCTGAGATGTAACGGCCAAGTAACAGCCATGAACTTGGCCTTGAATGAGGCCTTAGGGCCTAGAAAGATGGTGCACAACAGTTTGACACTTGTCATAACTGAAATAAAAGAAAAAGAAAAAAAAATGAGAGAAAAAGGAGGAAGAATGAAATAAAAAGGGAGAAAAGAGTGGAGGAGAGTATGCCGGCCTATTGGGACCTGCACAGTAGGGACTCGCAGGTCCCAACTTTGACGTCATCCCTCCTAGAATGAGGGAGGGCAATCCGGATTGTAGAGATATGGCCCTTAGGGCCATATCTCAATAAAATCTGAATTAAAAAGCAGAAAATGAGAGAAAATGCAAAAAGGAAGTGGCCGGTTTTCATTTGGACCATGGATCTGAGATCAGATCTCATGGTGGAGAGGAACTAGCCGTTTTTTGTGGGCCAGTTCAAAACGGCTAGCTCCGGAATGAGTTGGCAGCCCAAAATGGAAAGAAACAAAAGAAGGAAAGGGACAAAACTGTGCATTTGGTCCAAAAAGAGAGCCAGATGCACCAAAAATTGAAAAAGTAGACTTAGGGGCTCAAAATTGAAGCAAGGGCTACTAAGGGGTAGCATGAATTATTGTTGGCCTTGGATCTTAGCCAGATCCAAGGCTGAAAATGTGCCGCCGCATGAAAAAATGCTCCGGCTTACCCAAGGGAGGCCGAAAAAATCGAGAAAAAGGTCCACAAGGCCTTTTTTTTTCAAGTAAAATTGCCCCTTGGGCATTAGGACCCAAGGGGGCAGCATTTGTGAAGCAAAAAGGAGGCCGGAGTAGGCCAAGAGGCAATCCGAGTTGGTACCTACCACTCGGACTGCATGTACTTGGCCAAGAAGAGGCCCAGGTACCTCCAGAAAGGCCTAGTAGTCAAATTTTGCCTTGGGGGTACCTCGGTTCACCTCAAGGCTCATGGGGAGGCTCATGGGCTGGCCGGACCGCTGGTTGCCGCCTACATAAGCTGGGAATTCAGTCCGCCACTTTCACAATTGCATAAGAATGCCCATGCTGCCCAAGTGAGCCCATGAGAGCACTCTTTCACTTGGAGAGAGGGGAGGAGAGCCCATGCTAGTTTGGGAGCTTGGTGGAGGCCATGAGCTAGGGAAAGGAGATCTAGGGACTAGAGGTAGTGAGGCTGGCACTAGGGGAGGTGATCCGCCATAGCCCCCTGCGGGTGAGGGAGAGAGAGAGGTTAGAGGGAGCCCCATTAGCCCTCCTAGAGGGGAGGACTCCATAGCCATGGTGATGGGAGCTTGAGGCAACTTGGGAGGAGGTGAAAAAGGAACAAGAGAGGCTTGAAGAAGGAGGGAGCCATAGCCAAGGAGGAGTTGTGCAAGGAGGCGGAGAGCCTCATCAAGATTGAGACTCCATCTCCAAGATATTGACAAGGTGAGTGGAAGGAAGAAGATGCTTCTTCTTCTTCATCTTCTTCTTCATCTTCTTCTTCATCTTCATCTTCATCTTCTTCTTCTTCTTCTTCTTCTTCTCCCCCTTCTTCTTCTTCTTCTCCTTCTTCTTCCTTCTCTTCTTCTCCTCATTCTTCTTCTTCTTCTTCTTCTTCTTCCTCTCCTTCTCCTCCTCCTCCTCCTTCTTCTTCTTCTTCTTCTTCATCTTCTTCTTCATCTTCTTCTTCTTATTGGGATAATCAAACTCTTGTTTTTCAATCACATACTAGTAGGTAGTGCTCCGATTCTTCTATGGATGATGTCATGTTGATTACTTGTGATTTGGGTTAATCAAACTCTTGTTCTTCACTCACATGAGAGTAGGAGATCTTCTGATTCTTCCATGGATGATCTTTTGCTCAAATCTTGTGAGATAGCCTTGTGCAACTCTTGTTTTTCAATCACAAACTAGTAGGTAGTGCTCCGATTTTTCTATGGATGATCTTTTGTTGGTTACTTGTGAATTGGGCTACTCAAACTCTTGTTTTTCAATCACATACTAGTAGGTAGTGCTCCGATTTTTCTATGGATGATGTCATGTTGATTACTTGTGATTTGGGCTAATCAAACTCTTGTTTTTCACTCACATGAGAGTAGGATACCTTCCGATTCTTCCATGGATGATCTCTTGCTCAAATCTTGTGAGATAGCCTAGTGCAACTCTTGTTTTCCAATCACATACTAGTAGGTACTAGGTAGTGCTCCGATTCTTCTATGGATGATGTCATGTTGATTACTTGTGATTTGGGCTAATCAAACTCTTGTTCTTCACTCACATGAGAGTAAGAGATCTTCCGATTCTTCCATGGATGATCTCTTGCTCAAATCTTGTGAGATAACCTAGTGCAACTCTTGTTTTTTAATCACATACTAGTAGGTAGTGCTTCGATTCTTCTATGGATGATCTTTTGTTGGTTACTTGTGATTAAAGCTACTCAAACTCATGCTTTGTACTCATATACTAGTAGGTAGTGCACCGCTACTTTCATGGATGATCATTGATGCAATCTTGGTGATTTGGGCTACTCACACTCTTGCTTTTCGCTCATACACTAGTAGGTAGTGCACCGCAACTTTCATGGATGATCTTTGGTTCAATSTTGGTGATTTRGACTACTCAAACTCATGCTTTTCACTCACACACTAGTAGGTAGTGCACCGCTACTCTCATGGATGATCATTGATGCAATCTTGGTGATTTGGGCTACTCACACTCTTGCTTTTCGCTCATACACTAGTAGGTAGTGCACCGCAACTTTCATAAATGATCTTTGGTTCAATCTTGGTGATTTGGGCTACCCACACTCATGTTTTTCACTCATACACTAGTAGGTAGGGCACTGCTACTTTCATGGACGATCATTGATGAAATCTTGGTGATTTGGACTACTCACACTCATGCTTTTCACTCATACACTAGTAGGTAGTGCACCGCTACTTTCATGGATGATCATTGATGCAATCTTGGTGATTTGGACTACTCAAACTCATGCTTTTCACTCACACACTAGTAGGTAGTGCACCGCTACTTGCATGGATGATCATTGATGCAATCTTGGTGATTTGGACTACTCACACTCATGCTTTTCACTCATACACTAGTAGGTAGTGCACCGCAACTTTCACGGATGATCATTGATGCAATCTTGGTGATTTGGGCTACTCACACTCTTGCTTTTCACTCATACACTAGTAGGGAGTGCACCGCTACTTTCATGGATGATCATTGATGCAATCTTGGTGATTTGGGCTACTCACATTCTTGCTTTTCACTCATACACTAGTAGGTAGTGCACCGCTACTTTCATAGATGATCATTGATGCAATCTTGGTGATTTGGACTACTCACACTCATGCTTTTCACTCATACACTAGTAGGTAGTGCACCGCAACTTTCATGGATGATCATTGATGCAATCTTGGTGATTTGGGCTACTCACACTCGTGCTTTTCACTCACACACTAGTAGGTAGTGCACCGCTACTTTCATGGATGATCATTGATGCAATCTTGGTGATTTGGACTACTCACACTCATGCTTTTCACTCATACGCTAGTAGGTAGTGCACCGCAACGTTCATGAATGATCATTGATGCAGTCTTGGTAATTTGGGCTACTCACACTCTTGCTTTTCACTCATACTCTAGTAGGTAGTGCACCGCTACTTTCGTGGATGATCATTGATGCAATCTTGGTGATTTGGATTACTCACACTCTTGCTTTTCACTCAAACACTAGTAGGTAGTGCACCGCAACTTTCATGGATGATCTTTGGTTCAATCTTGGTAATTTGGGCTACTCACACTCTTGCTTTTCACTCATACACTAGTAGGTAGTGCACCGCAACTTTTATGGATGATCTTAGGTGCAATCTTGGTGATTTGGGCTACTCACACTCATGCCTTTCACTCAACACTAGTAGGTAGTGCACCGCTACTTTCATGGATGATCATTGATGCAATCTTGGTGATTTGGGCTACTCGCACTCATGCTTTTCACTCATACACTAGTAGGTAGTGCACCGCTACTTTCATGAATAATCTTTGGTTCAATCTTGGTGATTTGGGCTACTCACACTCATGCTTTTCACTCACACACTAGTAGGTAGTGCACCGCTACTTTCATGGATGATCRTTGATGCAATCGTGGTGATTTGGGCTACTCACACTCATGCTTTTCACTCACACACTAGWAGGGAGTGCACCGCTTCTTTCATGGATGGCTTTTGGTTCAACCTTGGTGATCTTGCCTACTTAGACTCTTGATAGTAGGTGATGTTCCGGATCTTACTTAGATGATCTCTWCTSTATATGCATGTGCTTTCCATTAGTTCTAGCCTCTCATTGTCATATCCATGTGTSATGTGATRTTCCGRTTGATCTTTYCTCTATGTGCATGTGCTTTTCCASTAGTTCTAGCTTCTCATTGTCATATCCATGTGTGTTGTGATRTTCCGRATCTTACTTAGATGATCTCTTCTCTATATGCATGTGCTTTCCATTAGTTCTAGCCTCTCATTGTCATGTCCATGTGTGTTGTGATGTTCCGGATCTTACTTA